GCGGGAGCGGCAAGCAGGTGAGCTCGGCGGCGTGCTCGGGCCCCCATGGGCCTGGACCTCCTTCGCACTCCCAGGGATCGGGATCGGGATCGGGGTCGGGATCTGGGCCGGGCCGCGTCCCCGAGCACCTTTCCCAGCCCGGGAAATTCAAAGGGTACGGAAACCAGAAAGAGCCCTTTAGAAATCTACCCACTGTAACAGTGTCTTCATTGGTAGCTGGATGTCCGCATATGCACTTGTTTTGGGATCATGCCTCATACGTTGTCATTATACACCTTCCCCTTATGTTTTATTATATGTTAAATAATCATGTCATTTAAAATGGCATCAATATTCCATTGTGACAAAGGCCATAAATCCGTAGTTTCCAACTTGGCCTAGATGACTTCCTGTCCTCTGCTGTACTTTAAGCAGCTCCCACCCTTTTCAGGCTCGAAGACACTTTGCTAGGTGCTTGTTTTTAATTTTTAAATATCTTTCCAAAGTGTACACCGTGGGAGCCTTGAAAAATAGCTGTATCAGGACAGCAAACTACCTACAGTTTTTCTTTTTGTTTCAGAGTAAGCAGGAAATTCACAGGCGGTCTGCACGGCTCAGAAACACTAAATACAAATCTGCTCCAGCTGCTGAAAAGAAAGTTTCCACCAAAGGAAAAGGAAGAAGACATATTTTTAAACTAAAAAATGTAAGATGATTGTGGCCAGTGTTGTGCTGCAATGATATGTGTGTATTTGTGTCCTCCACTGCCTTCGTTTCTTTCTTTCTTTTTTTTTCTTTTTTGGTTTTTTGAGACAGGGTCTCACTATGTAGTTGAGACTGACCTGGAACTCACTATGTAGTCCAGGCTGATCTCAAACTCATAGTAATCCTCCTGCCTCAGCCTCCTAAGTGCCGGGATTACAGGTGTGTGCCACCCCACCTGGCCCTTCATTTCTTACCATTAAACATGAATGCTGCTCTGGGAGGCCTTCTGCACTATGCTGTTAATATGCTTTCTCCTTTTTGATGTATTTTTTCCTCTGGGAAAATAAAGAGTCTAAAAGAAATAACACATTTTATCAGATCAGTCTGTGTAAAGGAAGAGAAAGATGATGGTTCCTGATGTGGCTGGAAACACTAGGAAAACTTTTTCTTTATCCAAGTAAATAATAATGAAACTCATTTTCATATCTGTTTTTTTTTTTTTTTTTGGTACTAGGAATTGAACTCAGGTCCTTGCGTTTGCAAGGCAGTTGCCAGAACCACTGAGCTAAATCCCCAGCCCCATATCTGTTATTATAGTCCCGGGAAATGTATCTTTTGATGGATAGCAATGAAGTTGACAAATGGTGATGAATCAGAATTGTTCCTAAACCTTTATTTCCTCTTCTGCTACACAAAATGGAGAAGAGGCTGGAGGTAGTCAGAAGTGCATTTTTGTTGCAGTAGGTTCTGTTTTTTGGATGCACAAGGGCACAATGGGAAATAAAGAATTCAACAACAACTTTAAGTATAACACTCAATTCATTTATCGGTACAGGCATTTCTGAAGTTGGGTATTTTCACAGAGGATCCTGTGGTAGATTCTTAATGCAGATTGTGGATTCTTTTCTTAATGAGAGTAACTGCTCCGAATTTAAGATTTTTATAATTTAGTTTTTGTAAAATGAGGCATTCGTTGACTAGACAAAACATAAGCTTATATATTTATATCCCTGGCATATTTTCCTTTTTGTACTGTAGATTGTTCTCTTTAGTTATTTCACTTAGTGTCTCTTCATCCCCTTCAAATTCTGTACAGAGACATATGGGAGAAGCTTGCTTTCAGTGTGGTAGCAGTGGAGTGTGTATCTTGAGAAGGCATTTCAGTGATGGTGGGAATGTGACAGATTACTAAGGACCCAAGAATGTTTCTAAAGCCTCAGTTCAGGCTTGCTACAAAATTGATGAATAACCTGGCATGTTCTAGTGCTGAGATGGACTGTGTCTTTAAGAAGACATTTTTTCACTTTGTTCAATATTCACCTATGCATTTTGTGTTAGATCTCAGCAACATGATTAGAAGCTTGTCCTGTTTCTCAGCAATTTTTAAGCTAATTATAGCATAAATAATGGAAATATTTGGACTATGCTTTGCCACAACACTGAGAAAATTATTCATCCTTTCATTGTGATTCTTGTCACCAAACAACAAAATTTAGAATTTCTCAAATTATCCAACTTTCACACTGTATACACTATAGGTGGTAATATTTTTACTTATTTTTTTTCATAGCCCATCAAGGCTCCCGAGTCTGTTTCCACCATCATCACTGCAGAATCTATCTTCTACAAGGTAAGTGTCTGTGAAGAATTGGGCCTGTGGTATATAACTTGCTGCTAAAATGTTGGCTTAGTCTAAATGTCTCTGCTGTTGTTTGCATAAAGTGTGATTATGCTTTTTGTTCTCTTTTAAGCTGTTTTTCCCTATAGGTGGCTGTTGTAAAACATCTCATCCAGCACTGAGGTAGGAAGAGAAGTTGCCTATTTAAAAAATGATGTGAAGGTCTTAAGTTTATTTATTTATTTGTTTATAATTTTTTGGGGACCAGGGATTGAACTCAGGACCTTGTATTTGCAAGGCAGGCATGGTGCCACTGAACTAAATCCCTGTTCCTTGAGTTTATTTTTTAAATGTATCTATGTGATTTATTCTTAAAATGCTAATACATAGAGAGCCATGAAAGAGTGAGCCATCCCCACTAATGTGATGGCATTTGTCTTAGTTACTTTTCTTGTTAATGAGACAAAATAGCACAAGTTGAAGAAAGAAAGGTTTATTTGGCTCACAGTTTGTAGAGGTTTCTGTCCATAATTGGCTGGCTCCAAGGTAGGGTGGCATGGCAGACAGGCATTGAAGAGGAAAAGCCGTTCGTGGCAGGCAGAAGGTAGCAAAGCAAACAAAAGACAAGGCAAGCCTCTTTCTGTCCCCTGTATTGTATCCAGACTGCTGGGATTAGGGCAGTGCCAAACCATGGTGGACTGATTTAGTAAATCACCCACCCTTAGTCCTAGCACCCTTAATCACATGCTCTACATCCACCATCTCTGCAAAATCCCCAGCTATGGCTGCATGAGGTTTTGGCAGGACACCTAGACACAAACCATCATAGCATTGATGGCTGAGGACAGTGGCAGTGTGTGGACTCATAGAATATACAGATTCTGCTGTCTAGAAGAGTAGGCCCAGAGACTAAAGTGCTTTTAAGCATAGGTGAGAGGAATGGAGAGTAGTGGGGATTCATACCTACTAGAAGTTCATGGTGACAAAGTCTTAACGATGTTTTGAAAAAGTGAGAAGGTCAGGTTCCCTTGGGCCAACACCCACAGATATCTGTGACATCTGCAAGATAGGTGACTTACCGTTACTTGCAAACTAGAAGCCTTAGGAAATAATCGCAACATATAAAAGAACTCCAAGGCTTGGCAGGCCTGGCACAAGCAACAACTTAGTGTTTTGGCATCTGAACTGTAAGGTAGGAGGCAGTTATGTGCATTAGAGCTTTATACTGGGCCCAAATGGACCAACTCCTAGGAACCTTAATGGCATGTGGTTTTATAACCATTGACTATGTTTATTTTTATTAGCCAACAGTGCTTACCGAGCAGAAACAGTCTGTACACAGAAGACATCTCTCCTGTATTTCTAGCATTTCATACATTACTTTTTGTACATAGTTAGTAAGAAATAGCTGAAATGTGGTGTGTGCTTGCTGTGTAACAGACACTGAGAGGAGCATTTTACTTCAGTCTACTCTGTGGAGTAGACTATTTTCTTCTTTTTTTTATAGATGACATTGAGGACAGAAATGAACTTTTTTAAGTTTACACAGTTGAGAACGCATTGAGCAAAGCAACCTGAAGAAGGAACCTAAGCCCAGACTTTAGGTCCCGGCTCCACAGTTTGGCAAGTGTCTGTGTGACTGGGCTACGGCCAACCTCTAATGCTCATCTGTAAACTAAGGGTCGTGCATAGTAGTTACCTCCTGAGATCATGCATGTTAACCGGTTAGCAGTGTTAGCACTTCATGAGTGGTAATAATTAGCATCGTCACGTCTTTAAGTTTGGGTTTTAATTTTCCCAGTTGAACATGGTTTGTAGATTATATCCGAAGTTCAAGGTTTAGTGTGCTAGTGATTTTTCTATGTGCACCCAAAGGAAACATGTGGAACCTGTTCATTACAGTGCTTATTAAGTAACAAGGCTAAAATGCAACAAAATACTCAATGTTGCAGAAACCCAGTGCCAGCACAGCCGTGGGGGTCCAAGAGATCACTGCCAGCTGTTGAGGTAGAGCCCAGAGCAAGCATGCAAGGGGGGACTGAGTGGAAGCTATTGGGGTGATAGGCAAGACTGTGGGTACCCAGGAGCCAGAATGATTTAAGTGGCCTCCCTGGAAAACCGCATGGCAGAGCACCTCCATAAACTCAGTCTGCTTACTCCTAATCCAGCTCTTTCTCTCAGCCAGAAACTTTGAAAACTGCTGACAAATGAGGGACTGCTTCTCAAGTGGCTCGGTCCTGTTGGTGTTACATATATGCACAGGAATCTCTCCTTACCCGTGATTCCTGCTTTCTGAGGTTTCAGTTAGCTGCAGTTTGAAAATATTAAATTGGAAATTCTAAAATAAGTAATTCATAAATTTTAATTATTACAGTATATTATTGTGATTGTTCTGTTTCATTATTAGTTATTGTTAATTTATTTCTGTGCCTAATTTATAAATTAAACTTTATCATAAGTACAGGAAAAAAACAATATATGAAGTTTGGTAGTATCCCGGTTTCGGGCATCCACTAGGGGGTCTTGGAACATATCCCCAACAGGTAAGGGAGTACCATTGAACACAGCACTTGTTAGTAAACACCTACTGTGTGCCTGGCATTGCCTGCCATCAAAATCTTTTATTCAGACATTGTCTTTGCATTACAATTTTACTTTTATGCTGTTACAGATTGTTATCAATATCCATTCAGCATATATTTGAGTGTCTGATGAGCAAATACCATTTTTAACTTGGGAATAATGTTTATACATGTGGACAAAGCTAGTCATAAATGAAAACTATTTATTTGATTGGTAAACTTAAAACTTTAGTACCTGGGAAAAAAGACCAGCTGGTGAACTAGCCAGCGGTGGCCTGCATCAGCCACACCCATTCTTTATGGTCAGATGCAGCAGTCACCTTGGACACAGGGACGAGTGTCCACCAGAGTTTCTGCTCCTGCTCTGTCAGGTGCTCATGTTGCAGTTCAGTTGCTCAAAGCATTTCTTCAAATCATTTTTATGGTTGAAGTGCACAGCCCAGCAACTTCCACCTGCTTGCCAAAGCCCCATTTCATGGGAAGCAACAGTGAATCACACTTGCAGCAGTGAAGGACACTCTGGCCTTTGCAGAACTGTGCACCTACTAAGGAAATGCAGAACGTCACAGGAACTTGGATCAGCCGTCAGGACTGTCCAAAGAGTTTCCATTTTGAGACGCAGAGAAGAGGGCATGGGATGGACGGCAGAGGTACAGGGAGTATTCCACACAGGACATGCACACATTAGTTAGCTGGATATTAAAATGGAATAGGAATTGAGTAAGACGCAAAGGAACTGTATTGTGGGAAGATACAAAGCTAAAGGCAGTGAGTCCGGGAGATGTGTGGTAAATTCAGGGTAATCATATCTTGGTGCTGATTAAAATCAAGAGTTTCTGTTACTTCTTTTGGTTTGAATTTATGATAGCAATTCCTTTGAATGAATGGTTGGGGAGGGAGCATGTAGAGTATATTTTCAGCAGATAAGCACTGATTTTCGGGGCAATACAGAAGGAAGACCATCGAGCAGGTGTAGAGGCTGCAGTTTCTGCCTGTATGGTTTTCAGCAAGTCACTTCAACTTTCTATACTTCAGTGAGTCAGGGCAAAAAAAGAAGGGTAGCATGGAGCTCAGAGGATATTTTAGGCCAGTGCAGTACTCTGTGTGATAACATAACTGTGGATACATGTCATTATACGTTTGCTTAAACCCCTAGAATACACAACACCAAGATTGTGTACTAACCGCAGCTGTGGTCTTGGGTGATAATGATGTCGCAGTAGAGGTTCATCAGTTGTAACCAGTATACCACTACGGTAGGAGACATTAATAGTGGCCGTACATTTGCAGGTAGGGTATAGGGGGAAATCTCTCTACCTTCTACTCAGTGTTCCTGTGAACCCAAACAACTAGGACAATGAAACCTACTTGTAAGAAAAAGTAGAGATAGTGCTGTTGTGATATAAAGTCAAAAGAATTTTTATGAACAAGTGCAAGTTGTAGTGTGTGTGTGTGTGTGTGTGTGTGTGTGTGTGTGTGTGTCTTATTTTCACTCAGAAGTGAAACAAGTTTAGAACTGGCATCAGACATAAACATTGACATATTAGACCTTTTATTGACTACTTTGAAAACTTGCTTTCTTATTAAAGAATGTTCATTCAGAACTACACTGTTCTGTTTTTATTTTAAACATGGAATTATCTTCTGTTTCCCCCAGGGAGTGTATTACCAAATTGGTGATGTTGTTTCGGTGATTGATGAACAAGATGGAAAACCTTACTATGCTCAGATCAGGGGCTTTATCCAGGACCAGTATTGTGAGAAGAGTGCAGCACTGACGTGGCTCATACCCACTCTCTCTAGCCCGAAAGATCAGTTTGATCCTGCATCCTATATCATAGGTGAGTGTGACGAGTGGTACCACCTGGCTGAATTTAGTTAACTCTCTCATGTTACGTAGAAGAATTTATTAGTCTGCTTGGGCTGCCATGACAAAACGCCGCAGACTGAGTGGCTTGAACAACGGAAATGTACTGTCTCACAGCTCTGGAGGGTGGAGGTCTGAGATTAAGAGGCTTCAAGATTGGAAGGCAGTGGAAGCCTCACTACCTGGCATGCAGATGGCTGCCTTCCTGCTATCACATGGTCTCTTGTGTGTGCTCGCCAAAAGAGAGCTCTCTGGTTCTCTTGCAGGGACACTAATCCTAATAAGGTGCCCACCCTGTGGTTTCACTTTAAAGATCCCATTTCCAGTACCATTTCACTGGGAACTAGGTCATTAAACACATGACTGTAGAGGCAAGGGGGCAAAATGCAGTCCCGAATGAACACTAGGTGTAAAAAAGTAGAGAACTTTGATGCATTTGGGTGCCTTTAGTTATTTTAGTTTAGAGCTGTGTGTACCTACTAAAAATTGATATGGATAAGATTTTTCTGAGTGACCCAGAATTAAACTGTACAAAACAATCTATTGCTCAGGAACTAGATTTTTTAGGTTACTTATCAAAGTGTATTCAAAAGTAATTTCTCAGAGAACTATGCCGTGAAATCTTACAAATTCTCAGTATGTGTACCTCTACACACCATGCATTCTAGACCTTTTATTGTTGATTGTTGAAATGACAACAGCTATACTTCTGATCATTTTAAGGCTATCAAAAGTTGTGGCAAAAAGTTATTGACATAGACTCAAAAGAAGTTAGTAATTAATACAGTTTAAAGTGTTTTACCCTGAGCTTTTCATTCTTTCTATAATGAGTGCGCATTACTTTTGCATCCTGAGAAAAGGTAATACATTTTTCTTTAGTGGGAACTCCAAGGACAAGTCATATCCCAATATTTTTCTCACCTGCATTCAAGATTGATACATAGGCAGGGGATTTAGCTCAGTGGTTCCGCTGCCTGCCTCGCAAGTGCAAGGGCCCGAATTTGATCCCCAGTACCAGAAAAAAAGACTGATCATAACCAAACACTTCAGTCTTCTGCTTATAACACAAAGGATGGACTTTCTTTTACCTTGTGTGGGGGCAGGAGCCCAGCAGAAGCAGTGATGTGTCCAAATCACCCCCTGGCTCCTCCCCTACCTCCTCTTGTTAATCCCCAAGCTCTGAAGCACAGTGTGGAGGTCCGAGCCCAAACGCTGGAATCAGATCATCTGGCTTCACAGCTCTGACTACCACTTAACCAGCTGTGTGACTTCGACAAGTCATTTAATGCCCCTTATTTCACTTTTTCATATGCAAAATAGAAGTAATAATGAGTGCTGGGCTGAGAGGGTTGTGAGGATTTAAAGTATTGATACATACAGAGTACTTAGAGCAATGCAGGCACATTATAAACTTTCATGTTCAGTGTTGTGCTCAGGACCTTAGACGAGTCATTCAGGTTGGAAGAATGCCATACTTCTTAAGCAGTCAAAGTAGGAAAAAAATGACCATCACTTCAGAGTAGGTGCATGTTCAAGGGTGAATATCAACCCCGGAGTGCTTCCTCTTGGTTTCTGAGAATGTTAATATTTTATTCAAAAACATTCAAAAACAAAACATATTTAATCTTTCCATTGGCTACCTTCTAGGACCAGAGGAAGATCTGCCGAGGAAGATGGAATACTTGGAATTTGTCTGTCATGCACCTTCTGAGTATTTTAAATCCAGGTCATCACCATTCCCTACAGTTCCCACCAGACCAGAAAAGGGTTACATATGGACTCATGTTGGACCCACTCCTGCAATAACTATCAAGGAAACTGTTGCCAACCATCTGTGATTATACAATTAAAACTGATAACCGAGAATATCACTTACTGGCAGAGCACTTGCGTAGGTGTATATGAGGCCTGGTTTGATCTCTAGAACACACACAAAACGTGTACCTGGTTCTCCCATTTTCCTATATTCATGCTATTATGAAATGTGCCATATGTTTCTTTCATGAAATTCTTTTTTTTTTTTTTTGGTACTGGGGATGTTCACTTGCAAGGCAGGCGACGGCACCACTGAGCTAAATCCCCGGCCCTTCATGAAATCCTTAAATGGAAAAGTGACTTAAGAAGCTTTTCCCCTACTACCCAGTAATCATTAGCTTTATTTATTACTTGTCCCTTAGAAAAGTACAGAGGATAGAAAGAATGAAATGCAGTTGAAGTTAAACATACCATTCTGTATGTTTTTCTTCCCAGGCAAAGGCTTCAGTTTGCAGTTTCGAGGGAGACCATTAGGAACAGGTAGTCTCTATTTTTCTTCATAATTAACTTCTAGAAATGCATAAAATATATTTTTATACAAATGTAAAATATTTAACTTCTGAATTTCTGACCAAGAGCTCAATCAAATAAAGTGCAGGTAAAACCACTAGTGTCTGTCTTAAAGCCACACGGGCCTTATCTCATTATCCAGAAAATGCTAGGACAGCTGTGGCTCCTTTCACCCTAAGGAAAGTGACTGGCGGACCACTGCATTGCTCCTGGCTTTTTAAAAACTCACTTGAGTTTTTCTAGCACACAGAACCGTCCAGTTGCTCTTAGAGCTGCTCCCCACTGTTCTCACCTACCCCACTGGTGAGACTGAGGCTTCTGGCCAAATCCTAGTGTGATCTTCACCAGAGCTTGCACGAAACCAGGCCTTGGGCTGGGGGAGGGTTTCTCAACTATCAGATCAGCTGACAGTCAGAAAGGTGAGTCTTAAGTCATTAGCTTTGTTAGCTAAAAAAAAGTCTGCTGTGAAGTTAGAGCAACTGCCATGGGCTGGCCCTGCTGTACTTCAGACTAGAAAGGCTTGTTGCTTGCTTTAAGGGAGGCCAGTTAAGTGGGCAGCAGTGGTGATACTTGTCTTATCTGCCCTGATTTAACCTGCATTTTTCAACCCCAGAAGAACCTGTAGGAATTTGATTTGATCATGACCTTCACAGTTGCTCCTTTAACTCTTACCCTTTTTCTACGTAATGTTTTTGTGTTAGAAAGAAGTGACTGTAGGTAACTTTGTGTACATGGTCATCTCTTTGTCCACAAAAATGACAGTAAAATGGATTGTAAATACCATTGTAAATATTTTCTAAATACAATACTAATGTTCAAGACTTTTGTATTAAAATGTATTTTCACAGTATATTTACTTTGGATTCATTTTATTTCATTTAGTGGGGCAGGCTTCGGGGTGAGGCAGAGGGAGGCCCGCGACTGAGGAAGTGGGAATAGCTGAGAGCATGCCCATAGCAACGCCTGATGTTCTGTTGTATGTGGGCTGTGACCTTGCATTCGGGGCAGGTGTGCCGTGCCCGGGCAGAGTAGGCACTGTTCCCAGGCGCAGGTGGCTAGGAACAGCCATTCCAGGAACTCAGGTGACTGCAGGTGAGGTGGACAGGAGCAGACCTATCTCTTATCATTCAACAGTTTCTTAAATCTGTACCCTCTTCATTTTCTACCAAAGCCTTGCTTAAAACCCTTAACTCCCCACACCTCCTAAGACTGGGGATGAAACCTTGAAGGTGCTAGGCAATAGCTGTACCACTAAGCCACCTCTCTAGCCCAAGGCCCTTAAATTTCCTCATGAAAACTTTCCAGATTCTTCTGGATCCTTGAGACCAGTTCTGTGGTTTCATTTAAGTTTCTGCTTCTCCTGTCCCCATTCCTACCCCTGCACTCCCCCAAAGTATGGAGGATGTACATTTTATGTCTCCCGCACCTAACTGAAGTCTTCACTTATGGGAAATGATGAGTGTAGAGTAAAAATTAGATACTGTCAACTAAAATACTTGTTGATATTTTAGCTGGTGTTAAATAGCCTAAACTTCAAATTTCATTATGAATAGTCTGAATCAAGTAGAATCTCACACTGTTACATGGTAGATCCACTAGAGTATTTTAGAAGTTGTTTTAATAGGATTTTAAAATTTTCATTAGTACATGTTTGTGATGCATAATGAGTACATTCAAAGACAAGATTTAAAAATTATTTTACACATACATGTCAACAATTGACGTATTTGAAGTTACAGTGAAATTATATATTCTTTGTAATGCCTCACCTCAAGTAAATGTCTTGGCTCAGTCTCCCAAGTAACTGAGGCCATAGGCATGTGCCACCGCTCCTGGCTTGTATTTTTTTATTTTGCAATTTTTATTATTAGCATCCAGTACTTCTATGCTCAGGTAAAAATGCTATTTTAAAATAAATAACTAGAAGAAAAGATGGTATAATGGGCTGAATGCTTTATCCATGTTGGGAGTTGGTATATTGGGAAGGAACTCACTTTACAGGTTCTGAAGATAGAGCCTCTGTAGTATGACCGAGGAGAGGGAGAGAGGCATGAGAGACTTCCTTTATCTCCCCTCCATGTTAGAATACAATCATTATGTTTAAAGGAATCACAGCCAACATAAAAGGACAGCTACTGTACAATTCCACTTACCTATGGTACCTAGAATGGCCAAATTCATGGAGACAGTAGAAGAGAGGTTACCATGGCCAGAAGGAAAGAATACAGGTGCAGGTTTCGGTTGGGGTGATGAAGAAGTTCTGGAATAGATACTGGTGGTTGCATAACTAAGTGGATGTACTTATGCCACTAAATTGTAAACTTAGACATGGTTAAAATGGGAAATTTTATGTTACTTTAACATAATCTTTAAAGTAGACTACATAATTTAATAACCAGTTAGAATATGAGGTGAAAGAATGAATTAAGGAAGACACGAGGGTTACTTTGTGGAAGATGAAACAGCGGTGATAGCTTCCCACCTGACTTCCACACTGTGTCTGTTCTGTAATGTGAAGTCTGAGAGGCATCTCTTAGATGTCAGCATTGATTAGGTACCTGGAACTGGTGTGGGTAGGCGAGAGATACAATGCAGGCTTAACTCTTCACCTAGTGGATTGTGTCTCCTGAGGAGTGCCGCTGTGGGACAAACTGAGTTAGGTGCCAGGGCAGGCAGCTGTGGGTCCCGGACTGTGGGTCAGTGTCAGCTCTGACTCTGATATCATGTCTACCACAGCAAGTCTCCCTTCCTCAGCTCTGGTTCTCTGCACAAATACCCCAAGCCTAAAATAGTACTCATTTGTTCCTGTGTCCTGGGCTATAAATCTCAAGGTTTTCAGAATACAGAGAAATGGCACAGTTGCTGTAACTGCTGCCAGCTTCAGCTTGCAGAGGATCAGTAAAGTGGGTCCTGTCCTTCAAAAGACAACCGAGAGTGGCCGCAGCAGAGCCAAGAGTCTTGCCACTGGGTACAGGGATTAGGCAAGAGAGCGACCTGGCTGCTAGTGCCCTGAGCACCAGAATTCGTTTTTTACAACTGTTTAGGTTTTACATTTCTAGGCAAATGTGATCTGATTTTGTGGGGTAAAGTTAACTTCTCATCCAATGCAGATTGTTACACATATTACCGTGGTCCATGATGCATAGGAAGAAAAACTGTGAATCATAGTCTTTGTAGATGTATGGATTTAAGAGCATTTAATGTAACTCTTATTTAACAGATAAGAAAACTAAGGCCTAACAAAGTTAAGTAAATATCATGGAAATGTCACTAAAGTTGCTGCAGAACTGCCACACACAGGATCCAGAAGAAACTGGGAAAATGCTACCATGACAAATACTAGGTCCCAAAGACTCTCATACAAATTAAAATCTAGATTGTATTTCTTTAAAAAAAATCCCCTCCCATCTCTCTCTCCTCTCCTTTGCTTCCTTTCATTTTGCTTCTTTGTTTTGTTTTCTGTTAAAGAAGTGGGAATCACTGATGGATGTTTCTTATTCAACATGGAGCAGACCAGTGTGGAGTAACTGCCCATCTACGATCAGCAGCGCTACACTCCTAACCTCAGCTTGCAACTTCTCTGTGTCACCTGTTTAGCAGAAGCTGGGTGAAAGGAGGTCTGTAACCAAAACATGACCAACGAAGGTGTAGGTAAGGTGATAGCTACTCTAGATTAAGGGTGAAGATGCTGTTTGAAAAGTGTAAGTTGAAAAAAATAAAATCTCAACCTAGAAATTCTCTCCATAAAGGTAGCAGAGAAAAAAAAAGTTTTATTACTAAGTATTAAGCAAGAATGTGAGACAAACTGAGGCAAGGTGCTAAGAGATTACAGACATAGATTTCATATTTTACATAGCCAAGCAGGTATAATCCATTACCTGCCTATCGTAATTAAAGATCAACAATAACTAGTCCTCAACTAAAAGAACTTGACCCCACCATTGATTACACATAATTCATCCTAAGTGGGTAACTGGCATGTTACTTAATGAACTGTGCAGAAGGTGGGGGCATGGAAAAATGCATCTTTATGCCAGGAAAATGGGCAAAAATAAAATCAGAAAATTTACATAAAAATGCAAACACTGTAAATAATACATGCTTTTTTTTTTAATTTTTTTTTGTACTGGGGATCCAACTCAGGCCCTTGCGCTTGTGAGGCCGGTTTTAGAACCACTGAGCCAGATCCCTGGACCCTGTACATGATTTTTTTTTTTTTTTTTTTTTTATAATGGGGTTTGCTTTTTTCTCTGCTGGCCTT